AATAAAATTTAAATGAGCAATCAGTTATGCTGCAAAGCCTGCCCAGAAATGTCTGGGTACACAAATGTACATAAATACTCTTCCTGAGTAAAGGCTGTTTTCTGACTATATAAACACATCATCTTGCAGAGATGGCCACAATGAGAACAACGAATGTTTTAATGTTACTGTGCAAGTGAATATGTTCTTTGGGTACCATTAGAGGCACTGTTCTCTCATATCTCTTCTCCAGCTTTACTGTCACTGAGGATACATGTTGCATAAGCAAGACCTTTGTTCATTAACAGACTACTTTGACAGGTTTCCCTCCGCTCTGAAATAAAAGCCTCGGAAAGATTATTTCCATGGAAACTCATGCAGGTGCTTCATTACCTGACACAGCAATATCACTGGTTGCCATGGAAATGCTTAACCTTAATAATAATTTGCTTGACTACCTTCTTTATTTTAAGAATCTGAGAAGAGCTTTTCAAACATTAGCAAATAAAACTTTAGACTCCTTTCACAAAATAGTAACTTCTCATTCTTCAGATATATGACTGAGGAGCTGGAAGCAGAAGGGCTGTGGCCAAGAGCACAAAGAACCATCATGGGGAAAGAGAGCAAGAGACTAACCTTGAAAATATTAAATCCAGCTCTCTTTTTATATATTCAGGGATAATAAGAAAGAGGAAAGCAGAAAACACAGCACCTCAACAAACTTCAAAAGAGTAGTTCTTCATTTTCAATCCAAACATTTATTGTTCCCCTAAGTGCTTAGCTAATTTTCCTGACTGACCACAGTAACATCCTCCTGCCTCACAAACAGTAATCTAACTTCAAAACCTTCCAGGAGGGTAGGAAAAATCTCCAACTCTCCTTTACAGAACCAAATTTCAGCAGTGGAGGTATTGCATAATTAGGCTGTCACTAGATCACACCAACAGCAGAGCCAGGCATCAAGCCTAAGGCTTCCAAACTTTCGGAAGATTTAGCTGCAAGACCACCCCTTTTACTAAGTATAAATTCAAGTAGGTTGCTAGGGCATGTAAATTCTGCCCTAGCTTGCAGCCATAACCCAGATATCTCAGAAAATGCTATTTTTTTAAATGAAAGAGAATGTAGGAAGAATATTATCATTTAGAATTCATGATATCCTACCCGGATCATAACCATGTGGGATTCTAGCAGAATTTCTGCAAAAGAGGGCTTCAAAACATCCAGGCTGATATTGGGCACTTTAGAAAAAGAGAGAAAAATAGATTAGAAGGCTGTACAGTTTACTTTTATTTGCCTCTTTCATAATAAACTACACTCTCTCCTCCTGTGACAAATATGTTTCAAGCACCTCTTTTAATTCCCTATGCAGTTCTTTCATATTCTAAACACAGAGGCTTGCAGTCAAATGTATCCTCCAGTGAATTTCACAACCGATATAATCCTAGATTCCCTCCTTTAGTTCCAGGAGTTTCCAAGAGAAACAGATAAAAGACCATGAAATACAGAGATTCATATTTCTAGCTGAAATCAGAGACATATTGTTTATAGGCTGCTGTTGATCTGTGAATGAGCTGTAAGTGTGGGAATGTAAAATGCATTACTCAGAAAAGGAAATTCTACCGAGTCAACAGCCCAGGATTCCTCTCCTTTGGTTTGCATACAGTTGCTCTGAAAGGATGAACATTAGGGTTTTTAATATCTCGGAACTCAGCCCAAGTCATCTGCAATTCATGGGCTGAAAATTGTATTGAATAATTCAGGCTGAATGAGGCTGTGACACAGATCTAACTCCTGGATGGGGCTGCAATGCCCATCTGTCATTACTGGCAGACTTAGTTCTCTGTCACACTTCTATTCATTTCTTGATGGTACTGCAAAGTCATTATTTAGCATGCCTCTGCTAAGAGAAGGAAAGAAATACACCAGAATAGGGTGAATCTTAGCTTTTTAAAGAAATCATTAAGTTATCTATGACATACTCATAATTCCCAATTAAACCAATGATGTTGAAAATAACAGCCTGTACTGCAGTGCCTACAAAACTTCACACTTTTTGTTCTTTAAAAAGTCTCTATACTTCCACTACACTTGAAGTGTTACACCAAGCTTACAGTACAGTGAAGTAGAAAAAGGCTACGTCCAAGTTGAGCAAGTTTGTGCTCCAGCTGGGAAAGAACACAGAAATTGCACGCACTGAATGCCACTTCTTGCCATCTGACAGCTCATCCCTTCCTTTAACATCTAGCCAAGGTGCACTCTCAAAGGAAAAGGAAATAAATGACTTACACTTAGGGTTAATATGATCTTCAAAGTTCCAGAGGGAATTGGGAGTCTCCTTCAGGTATGGTGTGCAGGTGACTTCCACTTGTTCCCAACCCCTGAGGAACAGCAGAACAGTTACCCAAAACCCCACAGAAGATCACTCAATATTTCCAGTTCATGTCTGATTTTGTCCCTCATTTAGCTTCATACTTCCCCATAGCACCTACCATACCACTCACTCCCAGCAGCTGCATACATACACACTCTTACACGCTCTTAAGCACCACATAGAAAACAAACCAGATTTGCAAGGCAGCCACCATCAAAATTCTACTGAATATTTGAACCACATTTCCAACTTTGGGCATCTAAACTAAAAAAACCTAGGTCCACACATAAGCAGTGGGATTTTTGAAGATGATGTAAATTGGCAACTAGAAACTACTTCAGGTTAACCCTTACAGTCTCTCCAGAAGAGAATCACCATCATTAATTTAAGTCAATCCTGTCTACAGCAACTGTATTGCAGAAACAAAAGGAGGAGGATCCCACCAACTGTTCATTTACTCTGTCACCCTCTTTCTAGGAGGTCAGATCAAACACTCTGGGAGAAAGTGCATCAAACCCTGCAGTAATGTGACAGATTAATAAGGAATTTTCTATCAAACACCACTTAGCAGACTTCACTAATTAATTAATTCCATTAATTAATCACCACTTAAGTCTCTGAAGGACAGTGATTACTCCCCTTTACATTCCAAAATATGTATATTTAAAAATCCAATATACTCTAACCATTCTTATTTGCAATTAACAACTATATTTCCCCTCAGCTTTTAATGTCTCAAATATTTTGTGGCCATAACTTCCATCCACAGGGTAAGTTTGCGTTAGGGGGGGAAAAAATCCCAACATGCCCCTTTCTTGAATGCTGTTGACAGAGGCAGTGATTTTATATTTTTTTATTAAACCAATCACATTATTTACCCATGAGCCCAATTTTACTGGTAAAGTCTAAATAGTACTTGCATTCCTGACCAGGCAGTCACCAGAGGTATCTGCCTGCGCTCCCTATGATTCAGCACTCACAGGATTCCTTAGAAGCCCTTTTTACCACAACACAGTGAAGGGAAACCTAAGCTAGCAGTGACAGAGGCTGCTCTGGAAACAGAAACAAGACTGCACAGCCTGTGCTTCAGGATCCATGTTAGCATCCCACACAGCGCAGCTCTGCAGATACAGCAGCTGGCTTGGCATTAGTCTGGATGCCTCTGCATATACCTCATTTTAATGATGAAGATGTATAATCCAAGGACATATTAAATCATGACTCCTGCTAGTAGCAGCTTGTTACCGTTGCCCTCGCTTCAGATGCAATATGGAAAAATGGCAGGTCTTTCAAACACAAAAGAAATTAATAGCAACAAAAAGAAATTTAGAGGATTATGGTAATGAACACCATGAACTGCCCCACTTTCTAGCAGTTTTTGTGAACCCCAAGGCTAAAATGGGCCTTGAATAATACGGCTGTCATCCCTTCCTGGACTTACCAGATGACAAGATCTATACCTTCACTGGAAGAGACTGCATAACACTAACCCAAACGCAGATCTTATGGTCTTTCAGGACCTGCTAGTTGCTTTTTTATTATTTTAAAGATAAAGAAACCAAGGAAATGGGGTTATTGCTTAGTTTAAAAGCACCACTGAGCAAAGGAACATGTCAGCTCAAGGCCTTGCAGGGGTGGAGGAGGTGGACAAGCTATTTACCATTTTGGCAGAGTCTTTCCAGAAGAGCCCAATATGCACCCTGTGGCCACATGGGTTAGTCGGACCTGACTCCGTAGGACTTTGATGAGCTTCCCAGACTTTCTGCCCACCACTTCAATCCGCCAGAAATCATTGGAGTCTCCTGTTCCATTCTATCAGACAAACAAACCACAGGAGAAAAAAAAAAAAACACAAGACAAAACAAAACAAAATAAAGCACAAAAAAGGCAAAAAAAAATCCACCCAAAAACCAACTAGAAGTCATACAGGATTGAAGTACTGCAAATAAGAATCTCTGAAAGTCTAATGGTGGCAAAGCTAAACAAAGAAGCCCAGGCTACCCTTGCTCAGACTGCACAGAAGAGATTCTCCATCAGGAAGAGATGATTCTAGACATTAACAACCACTCGCAAATACATTTTTACTTTGCCAACCTTAGATTTCTTTGCTTCCAATTCATACTTGACTGTGGCTCAGAGTTACATTTTAAACAGGGTTAACTTGGCTGCTTCACAAAAGGGGTTTAGGCAACAGCCCCACACATTTGGAAATTCAGCTCTAAAGCAGATTTAATTTTCATGAATCAAAATTCTGTCATCGTTCTGTCAAAAAAGTCACTTGTCTATGTGACAAGGCCAAATACATAAAATAATACTTGTCAGAGCAACTTCAAGGTTGCTCAGTTTGGCATTTCTGGAGTTGAACGCTGCCAAAGCTAGACTGGCAGTAAAAGCTTAAATTATTTTCTTGTCTGTGTTCACATTAAATAGACGTTAAATAGAAGACAAGCTATTTCATACTGAATCAGTTATTCCTCCAGTATGGTAGCTGCATATCTATCACCTTGGCTAACAAACTAAAAAAGCAATAATAAATCCCCTTGGCATAGTAAGAACTCTCCCCAGAAGGAGGAGCTTTTGTTTTATCTTGCCATTCACTTACTATTCCATAGCCGGTGACCTGAAAATGCTTCCTTGTCAGGGGAGCCTCATGCTGGTGACTGTGAAGATTTCTGGAAGTTCTGAAATGAAATTAAAAGTCAAATCTTGGGTTTGTTAGGGGTTTTGGTTTTTTTTACGTCTCAGTCAATTTGCAATAAGAACTTTGGTTTGGGCCATTCAGAAAGCTGCCACCGCTTTGACCACCGAATTCCAGGGAGGGCTGGGCAAGATGCAGCCGTAGCAGCGATGGGGGTCACAGACTGAAACTGCCGCTTCCCACCATCCAACTCTGAGCTTATGCCACACTGGGCAGTGCTGGAAAAGGAGGGCAGCACGAACAAATCCAACCCTCAAGCTACAGCCCACGTAGAAAAAACAAGTGGAAAAGACATTGTCAAGCTTTTTTTGGTTGAGTTTTTTTGTTTGGTTTTGGTTGGGGTTGATTTTTTTTTAAATAAGGAGTAAAGATGGGATTAACAGTCCTGCTCTTGCAAGAGGCAAAGCAAGACCCTGATTTCTCTTGATTATCACTTGCTTTTGAGGAGAAAGACGATGCCATTTAGACAGATTTACTGAGGGCGGGTCAGTGGCCCCCATTAGCAGCAGCTCTACATGCAAGCAGCCTCCTGTCCTTGCAGTGACTGCCGACTGGGGCAACCGGCAAACCCCGGTCGTACCCTGGTCAGTCCTTAAAACTCACCTCGCCAACCAGCAAACCCCTCCATCAATCACTAAACCCCTCCATCAATCACTAAACCCCTCCATCAATCACCAAACCAAACCCCCAGGCCCTGCCCTGCCCACAGAGAATGCCCGGGCGGGAGAAAGCTCACGGGAAGGGGACGAGCGCCATCTGGCGGGCCTCTGCCGCAGCGCCGCGGGCTCACCTCTCGCCCCAGAGATCAAGGCCTCACCAGCATCGCCTCATCAAGACTTTATCCCTTTTATTAGCATATATTTGGTAGTAAACCTGCCAAAACCAAGGCTTTTTTTGTTTGCTTGTTTGCTAAGCAATGCTTTGTGAGCACGCAGTACTGAATGCACCACAACGTGATTTCCAGGCTCACAAGTCTGGAGCTTCTGATAAGAAATCAAAGCTGCGACAGCACAGAGCATTGTGGCGCAGTGATATTAGACTAAATACAGATTAAATATCAAGTCACTAGGGTTCCCCTGCTTGCTCTCAGGTATTCCCTTCAGAGAGGGAAGGCACCAGCTGACATTTTTGTTAAAAGTGTTTCACTGCTGCGATCTCAGCACTGTTGAGAACTTCAGCAGGTGGATATTGCCTGTGCACATGGGAACAGGACACCTGCAGTACACTGATAAAAAAACCTTAGTATTTGCCCAGAAAACTCAGAGAGTGGGGCCAAGCAACAGATTGAGGATTTTGAAACTGCTTCTTTGCAGAAGAGTTACCCTTAACATTGCATCTCACACAGTTGAACAAACCCCTCTGCTGCTTAGGCAGGCGTTTCTAATGAAGTTGTGTGGTTCTGTTAGAAGTTTCCCATTTAAAAGACACCCTTCAAAACATAAACCGTAGAAGAAAGACTCCATGCTGGAAATGCAGCTACACAGACACCTCTGTCACACAGCCTGCTTATGCTGGCCTAACCATGTAGTCTCCAGCAGGACGAATCTCCCACCAATTCTATCCAATTACAGAATCTCTTTGAACCCCAGAAATCATCCTTACTCTTTATGTTCCAGACGAATAATATCTCCATGCCTCACAAACTCCACAGGGCTCGAGGGGTCTGATAGATCTGCTGAAGGAAGGCAAACTAATCATATCAATGCATTCACAAACATATCAGGGTCTCGGAAAGTTTCTTGGGAATGCTCTTGCCTCAAGCAGATAATACAAAGCAAACTAATCTGTGTCGACTCTAAGCCTGGTGTAGACCACTGCTCTTGTTTAAAGACCAGCCCTGAGGGCTACCCCAAAGAACACAGCCCCAGGCAGCACATACTGCTCTTAAATAAAGAAGATGCCTGGTCAGGCTAACAGAACACCGAAACTATATATGCATATATCTTTATTTAATGAAATATAAAATTACTCTTGCAACATTGATTTTTTAATTTTGTTATTTCTAGGTTATTTGCATTTTTTGTGGTTTTGACAGTCCTTGATAATTTTTATAGACACACGCTGCAGGTGAAGAAAGGAAACTCTGCCAGACCAAACATGCCTCAGCTACACTACATGGTATTCTAAACCAACAGATGTACGTACATAGATCTTTGCATTCAGTACTGTCTTGTTTTTTATATACACATGCTGCAGGTGAAGAAAGGAAACTCTGCCAGATCAAACATGCCTCAGCTACACTGCATGGTATTCTAAACCAACAGATGTACATACAAACATAGATCTTTGCATTCAGTACTGTCTTGTCACAAGCAAATGTCCACGCAAATCAGTTGAACACAATGTATCAGAACATACCAGGACCCAATTTCTCCAGGACTCATATCCACAATAACAGATTCCACAAAATACTGAGTTCAGGTTAATTTCCTCTCTGCTGTTTGCAGCCCTACCTAGCTGAAAAGTTGTCAATGCAACCTTCAGCTGATAAAAGCTTATTTACTTCAGCTGTATAATCTGGAGAAAAATCAAAAACACAGTAGACATAAACAGCATTAATCAAGATAGAGTGAGATTCCCCTTGTTCTTCCTCCTCACCTCCTCGTATCCATGGAGGATACTTTGCCCTGGAGAGAACTCAGAATATATAATTGAAAAACTGAAGCAGCAATTATAAAAGGCACTTTACTGATATTCCTTACCTGTATCTGAATCCTGTTTCTTTACAATCCACAGGTTATTCAAATCTTTATGTAAGTAGGCAGTGACCTGAAAGCACAGGATAAATTATTTTACCAAACAATAAAAAATAGCTGCTGATAGCTGACATTTGCCAGCAAATCGAAGTCCCGAGTGAAGGCACCAATAACATAGAAACCCTGGGAAGATTTTTATGATAGTGCCCTATAGAAAGTCAGTTACTGGTCATTCCTTAACCCAGATCACACCTTTTATTCACTGTATAGCCTGTATACTCAGGAGCACTACACTTAATGGCGGTTCACATGCAACATGAGTAACAGTCTCCAACCTCCCTACTTGGCCTCCTCTCATCCTGCTTCAGAGTCTCCTTCTACAACAACTGAACTTTTTGAATAATCACTGACCAGAACCAGGAGACAGAAACAGGTTTGGCTCTACAGACAGGCATCATTGGTAGAGATTTATGGTAACAGGCCACCTGTGACAACCATAATACTTCTGCCAAAAGATCCGGGCAAAGTAAGAAGGATTCAGGGATCAAGTCTTAAAAAGCCACACATGGTACCCAGCTAATTCTTACCAGCCTGCTCAGGCTCACACAGAGTAACTGCTCCTACTGTTACCATGGGCAGAGGAGACCATCTGGCCCCAGGGTGCTGCTCCTGAGGGCAACCTTCCCAAGCAGCATGAGGAACTGTGCCCACTTTGCTCACTCTCCTCTTCCAGCAGCAGCAAGCCATGCTCTGTGGGACCTAGACCAGTCCCAGACCTGTGCCTCCCACTGAGGTGGAGCAGATGGCCCAGTGGGTGGGTGAGAGGCAGAACACACAGAAGTGTCTGAGTATGGGGAAAAAGGGAGAGCTTGAGGTGGAACCTCACACTTCGAGGTTACATCATCAGGAGAGGAGAGAAAGGAGGAGGCAGAGAGATCATCGCCTCCATCTTTACCTCCCTAAATCAAGTTCTAAATTCCCTTCCCCTCTCCACAGCCCCCAGACTGCCCCAGCCCCCTACCCCTGTCCTCATAGGACAGGGCAGGGAGTACAGGGAAGAAACCTCCACCCACTCACCCTCAAGCAAACTCCCATTAGAGTCCTCTCCAAATCCCCTTTCCCTGTTTTTATTGTCATAAAGCATGCTCTGCACTCAAATTTTGCCTATCCTTGAGCCAGTTTTGTTATGACATCTTCATCTTTGGTAATAAGCATCAATATCACTTGAGAGTATTAGAATTTTCAGTTGGGAAAAACAGCAGGAAAAGAAGATTGAGACCAAGTTTTCAATTCTGAAGCCTTCCTCACCACAGCGACTATAGGGAGTTAAAAACTGAACACTTGTTTCTCCGGCAACTTTCTTCCAAGGAGCTCAGAACCAATTTTAGACACTAACATGCAAACTGCAAAATATGTCTTGGGAAAGCTGCAGAAGCTGCAAAGATTTGTGAAGCTTGATGATGATGGATAAAAATAAGAAATTCACTTTTTTTTTTACTACTTAGTGATAATTACATGATTTCTGATTTTTACTTTGATTTATTGCTTTATCATTTAATCAGAAACCCTTAGGGAGTTCAGACAGTTTAATTATGGCTAGCTTATGAATGTACAGATAACTAATCTAATGAGCAAAGCCTTACAGATTCTTTGGTGACAGAGGAGGAAAGTGAGGCACAAAAGGAGAGTAATTCATGTAAGGTAGTGGCAGGAGTGAAAACAACACACAGCAGCCCTATTCTGTTGCTTTTAAAACACAGCAATGAAACCTGTAAGATAAAGTAATGTATTTGTGCTAAACCTAAATTTTACAACATTCCTTGAGGTAACAACAGCACTTTCCTTATGAAAAATTATTTAAGTCCTCTTGGCCTCCATCTACGGAGGGTGGTCTTGCTACTACAGTGAAGCCTTGTTACTGCAAGTCACCTTTCTGGTGCAACGTGGTAGGCTCTCTTCAAACACCTTTTTACTCAGACTTCCAAGCCAACCGCGCAGCTGTGGCACTGAGAGAGTAACAGATGCTAAGTAAATACATAGCCCCTGTCACACAGCACCTAATGCCAAGTGCAGTGGAGTGAGTGCTGGTTGCAGTCAGAGGCAGTACTGCCGCTGTGCACTAACCTGCTGCTGGCGAGCCCCGATGCCCTCAGGGTAGAGGTGCCAGTGGGAGTGGAGGTATCCCCCTGCCATCCGAAGGTTCTTCATCGTGACCACAGACCCGTACGCCAAGTCTGTATGAGAAGGAAGGAAGGAGGAAAAACAGCATAAGGCAGCTCTCCTATAAATATCTGCCCCAGCTAGTCTGCTGTGCTCCGATTAGACATGCATCCCTCTGCTTTGTTTTGATGACAGCTCATTTCCTGTTTGACACATTACTGCACACAACTTACTGCAAGCTTGTCTTCCATCCCCAGCCACGATTCAGTAAAACCATTACATAACTTTTGGCTGAAACACTTAAAATTCTCCCACCTAGCTTTAACATAAACAGAAGTGCTAGTTCTTTCTAATGTAATTTCAATAATAAGAGGTTTCAGATACCATAGTATATGGTCAAATTAAAACAAGATCAAGCTTTCAAAGCACATGACTCCCTTAAAGCACTCCATCACCCAAACCCTACAGCAATGCAAGAAGGAAGGGAGGCGAGCTCAGCTATCAGATAGCGAAGCAAATACCCTGGCTTCAGACACTTTCCTTCATAGCCTCTCAACACAAGTGGGAGAACGGAGTCTTGGAGAATGGACCTGGTGCTCTCCCAGTAGCAGCTCTGGAGCAGGCAACAGCCAGAGAAAAGCTGAAACAATCAGAAAGCTAAACCATAATAAAGTCTCTGTAGTTCCTAGCCAACCTGAGGATTAGGGAACGACCACACATCCATCTTTCCCCTAGATTCATATGCATGTCTGAACACTACATGCCTGAACCAGAGGCATGCTGTGTCAAAAAGGAGTTGATAGTTTTCATTTACACACATTTTGGAAACAAAACTCACACACCTACAAACCTAACAGGTTTGTGAACAGGACAAATCTCTTCTTGTTGTCTCAAGCAACATAAAGGCCAAAAAATACAAAGGTGCATGCACACAAAACTGTCAAATCCCTCAAAATAGCATATTCCTCTAGGAGGAATATGATGAACCAGCTAGTGACCTTGCACTAAACATGATGGGTTTTTAAGCCTTTTTCTTTTCTGTCAATATATAAAACTGTGCAGAGGAACAGCATGGCTCTAACTATGACCACGGAGGCAAAATCTGCACTGTCCTGCACTGACTTTCAGGAAATACTGTTTTTATTTAAATCCTCATGTATATTAACAGCACTCAAAGCAGTTTATTATTGGGCACTCACGCTCTGGAATGGACACGTTATGAAGATTGTTGCCAATCAGCTGGGACTGAAATGCTGAACTGAAGAAACCATCCCCAGGACCACTAAAAAAGAGAGCAAAGAATGTGAGATTTCAATGTCTGGCAAAACAGGCATACAAAGCTCTATTATGCATTACCAAATTGTTTTTACAGAAGGAAAACAATAAAACCAGGCAAAGCATCAGGAGAAGAACGACTGCAGTTCAATTGTATGCACACACCTCTAATGTTGTGCATCACAGCAGACAGAGACAGTCTTGCAGGAAACTGTCTACAGTTGCAAGGACTTGAGGTCACAAAAATGTACCCACTGACACTGCACAAAGCACCATCAGCTATTTCTGGTGTTCCTATGACAAACAAACTGACCCGCTGTCAGGTCAAATATAACAAAGCCTTTCTCTGTGGCTCCTTAAGTCTAATTTCTGCTAAGAGGGTAGTGGTAAGACCACTTGACCTAAACTGAAACATAACAGGTTTAATTTTATTATATTTTTTATGTTGAAATGCTTATTTACTTCATCTCTCAATGCTGGCATATGGAAAAACATTACTTGGCCATTTTAATTTTCCTTTTTTTATTACAAAAAAAAACAAAAATAAAATGAATGGAGTTGAGACATTTTCAGGTCCAGAAAAGAGAAGAGGGGGGAAAAAAAGGAGACAGAATTTGGTTCGGATTCTTGCTTGGCATTTCAGAAAGTCTTAAACTCAAACTCAGTTTCATTGCCAGCTTGGCCAGAGTCTTTCTCTAAAAACAATGCAGGAGTCTGGAGATGGAATTAAACAAAGACACTGCTTGTGGCTGTGTTTCTGACACTGAAAACTGAGAAATCCATAATCAATAGCCTTTAATTCACAGCAAAGACAAGTGGTTCTTCTTCTGGAGAAAACATAGTGAAATACCTTTTATTTAATACTGTAAAATGAACAGCAAACATAGCCGTGTAGAGGGCAAGCGGGAGCAGGATGAGGCAGAGTACCCGAGCCAGTAAATGCTTCCCAAACATCACCTGTAACAAACACAACCTGGATCAAACAGTGCAGCTGCAGGAACAACTCCACTCTTTATGTCACAGGACTTGGAGTAGTGGGCCCTATAGCAGAAGCCCACCATGCAAACAAGCCCAGCAGGATACAAAATTCCTCAAAAAGGCCTAGGGAGCAGTAAAAGTTTAGGCAGACCTTATTGTGCATCTCCAAAAGCTGGAGCTGGGGTATCTTGACATTTCAGGGTTTGGGGAGAAAGGCAAAAACAGGCAATAGGAGGGTTTAACTTCCAAACACATTGGGCACCCCTAACTTTGGCAAAGGAGCTTGGGCAGCTCCCACTGAGAGTGCTTTGAAAACAAAGACCTTAACTTGTTTATCAGAGCAGGACACATCTTGAAACAAAATCACAGCAAGTAGAGGGCTTCCAGAACAGTAACTGCCAATGCTAAACAAAAAGGCAAATGAAAAGACGAGGGCACAAGCTACTGGATACAATCTCCCAACAAGTCTCCCTATGAAAATATGACTGCAACAAAGACTTCCTGGGGACCTAGATATGCTGCATTCACAGAAACCAGCTCACTTAGCAAGGATGCTCTCACACTGCAACTTCTGTTGCTGGTCCTCAGCCAGAAAAGTCAGCAGCCAAACCCGTGAGTGTTTCTAGCTGCCTTAACACAAAAGCAGAGAATTTTATTTAAATCCCTTAGAAAGGTGGTTTGTCCACAGATGCCTAAGATACAATTACATATTCACATCCTACTGACACTGCTGGTAGTAATCTAAAATACAGCGTGGGTAAAAAACAGCTGTGGGAGAAAAAAACACCTTAAATAGCAGAAATTGTTTGCTGTATGTCCACATTTAGCTTCAGAGTGGATGAAGGTAGATGCACTTGCTATCTTCTGTATATTTTGTTACATGGTACCTACCATACAATCATTAAACTCCCAAATCATTCTCCATCCCCTAATAACAGAACCAAAGACCTCAGAAGTAAAGGACAAAGGGCTGAACACATTACAAAAGTGAGAACTTACTGAGGTCAACCAAGGAAACAGTTGCTCAGCTCAAGTACTTGAGCAGAACACTTAATAACCACTGGGCACTTGGAAAAATGCTGATTGATGGTACATAACTGAATTTATGCAGCGGAGAGGCATGTGAACTAATCTCCAGCTCCCTGCTCAAAATGACCACATTATGCTTCACTCTCTGTGAAAAGGCTTTCTCTAACTACAGACTTCAATGCAAAGTAAAAAAAGAAAAGGCACAAGGACAGCATCAAGCAAACCAGAACAGTGGGCCAAGATAAGCTGAGAATTCTAGAAATCAAAGTGGTCCCAAAAACCTTGCATGTAAATACTCATGAGTAGTTTCCTAACAAATGCAGAGATAAGTTGTTCAGGCTTTCAGGAGTTTAATCCTCACTGCTTGGTTTTTTTTCTCTCTTCAAACACCAAGGTTGCCAAATAGTTAGTTATTCAGAAAGCATCTACCTTCTGGATTATATTTCTTTACATATTCTGACGCTCAGGGGCTTGCTGCCTTAGCTGCCAGCAGCACAAATGAAATCACTGTGCAGCCGTCTGCTGGCAGAAAGCTTAGACATGATGGATTTGTTCCATTTCAAATGCAATTAACTGACTTTGCTCAAGAAGTGCTTCTCCGGAGCTGGAACACTGCATCTTTGCAGCCCATATCGATTCACATTAATCAGAGAAAACAAATCACATAGCAGGAATAGAAAAAGTCCCCCCAAACCCCCACTGTTTATGAGACAAACAGGACAGAAACAGTAAGTGAAAGAAATAGAATTTGCAAGCTTCAGAGGGTGCTGAGACAAGAGAAAAACTGAACACCTTTTAAAAGACAGGCTGGAAGAATTTGTTTTCCTGCTGCTTGCAAGACAGCAAATGGCACATCAAGGTATTTCTCCAAATGTAGATTACACAGTCCCCAAACATAAAATGCAATACATTAGAACAGGGCACCGAAACACACGAGTGATTTTCTTAGAGCTTATAAGAACTAAACGTGTGTGAAATCAAGCGGGCTATGGCTGACTTCATCCCCAGGACTGGCTACGGAGACTGTGAGCTGCAGAGCACGCCTGTGACTCGTGATGGACGACAGCACACTGCTGCTATGCGGGCTGTGTCCTCATACCCTCATGAAGCAGAGCCTGAGCTTACGCTGCTTATGCAAACCAGGTGCTGCACAGCATGCCCATCTGCCAGGTAGCACCAGCTCCTCAGAAGGCCATGTAACAGTGTTGGACAAGATCTTGCTTTGGGCCATTGTACAGCCATTCCTAACAAGCATTTTCAACCTAGACTGAAATAAAATCCATTCAACTGGAAAGGTAATAGTTTCTCTCGAGAAAAATGTTTTTTTCTGTGCTCTTGTGACATTATATCCTGTTTACACATGTGGGGTTTCTTTATATGGCAATAGTTTTTCCCTTACTTTCCATTCTTCCTTGAAAGAGTGCAGCAGAGCCACAAAGATGATGGAGGGAGTGGAGCATCTCCTGCTGAGGAGCGGCTGAGGGAGCTGGGGCTCTTGAGCTTGGAGCAGAGGAGACTGAGGGGTGCCCTCATTCATGGGGATCCATTTGGAAAGGGCAGTGTCAGGAGGAAGGAGCCAGGCTCTGCTCTGGGATGTCCAATGCCAGGACAAGGGGCAATGGTCTCAAGCTGGAGCACAGGAGGTTCAAGCTGAACATGAGGAAAAGCTTTGTGAGTGTGAGGGTGGCAGAGCATGGCCCAGGCTGCCCAGAGAGGTTGTGGAGTCTCCTTCTCTGCAGACACCCAAAGCCCTGGCCGTGTTCCTGTGTGACTGCTCTGGTGATCCTGCTGTGGCAGGGGTTGCACTGGGGGAGCTTTCCAGGTCCCTTCCAACTCCTGACACTCTGTGATTCTGTGATTACAACCTTCATCTTTAATCATCGTTATCCACCTCAGATGCCCCTGTTTGCTGCAGAGTATCACTGTTTGGCTAGTTATAACTAGGAGAATTACAAAGGCATAAGAAAGAAAAAAAAACAACAAAGAAACGCTTAATGCAAAGAAAGGTTTTTGATACTCACCAGTGACAGGCTGAGGTTCCCCAGCAAGTCCCATAGGTCATAGATTGTGTTCAGGCCAACCAAGAGGACTACAAAAAGGCCAACAAACTTTACCCCCATTGCTCCAGCGAGGTTCACACCAGTCAGACTCAGCCAGAACCACCAGGAGGCAGAAAATGGCCTGCAAGACAGATAGAGCAGGTCAGTAAATAAACCATGGCTACTTGAATGGGCATCTGCAATCAGGAAAACAAACGGCAAATTAGCTACCCTGCAAAATTACATTCCATCTTGTTCTCAGGAGCCTATGAGGAGCAGAAAGAGCCTTTTTTCATGAATTTTAGAATGATGCAAGGATACTTCTGATAGAGGCTTCAAAAGGGCCCAACACTTAAGCCTAGGCAGCCTTAGATCTCCCCTTTAAGGAAGGGAACACAGACACCAGGTATAAGCTAAAATACAAATGTGAAGAAACTCTGACACGTGGAAGGTCTGAAAATAGAAACAGGACTTTTGCTTCATAAAATGCAGAGTTACATCGCTCAGAAAGCTACGTGATCCTGCTCTAGCAGGGGGGTTGGACTGGATGATCTTCAGAGGTCCCTTCCAACCCCTACCATGCTGTGCATGTGTGTGACATGGTGGAGAACAGGAGAAAGAGAACAGCTACTTGTCCTAAAGCAGAAAGGCCACAGTGGAAAACACCTACCCAAAGCACAAACAAAAGCTGCAGCAAAAATGAAACAGATTACAAACTAAACTAAAATTGAATCACAGAGGAAAAAATGAGAAAAGATGACAGCAGAACTTAAAACCCTTCTCCTACTGACTCTTGATGCCTTGATGGTTGTATTTTGGCTAGCAAAATCCCCATGACCTGCTAAGTAACACAATAGCTAGAGCTGGCTTTTCATTTGCATAAAATAAACTAGTTTGAGAACAAGAGTATCTCTAGGACATGAGAAATAAGTTCAGGTCAAGGCATATAGAGCTGGTCAAACACTGCCCTGTAACTT